TCCGAGCTGTAGCTAGATGCCTAGCGCCATCCCCAATCAAAAGACACGGGAGGCTGGCTGGCTGTTTTTTTTTTTTACTTTTGCGACAGTGATGCCAAGCTTGAGGCCACTAGAAGAGAAAGTTACAGGTCTAGTGCCCCTAGTGCCCAAAAGTTACATAGTGTGCCTTTAAAGAGACATTACTGAGTTTTCTATTGACACTGCCACCTGTGGTCAAAACACAGAACTACAGCACTCTTCTGCTCGTTCACGTTAGTTTTTTGTTTTTTTTTTTTACTTTTTTTCCATCTTACATAGAGTTGCCATCAGTGTCTGAGTCGAGCTGTATGCCGGTCTCTTCTGAGTATCCACAAAATCCATCTTTATTATGCTGCTTCAATATTTTGCTAGGTGGGACAAATAGGCTTCAGCCTTATAGGTGGATCAAAGATAAACTACTGAGGTACGTCTGCTCTTTAAACAATGTTCTGATCCTAAATGGTAAAATAAAAAAGCCATTTCAAACACATTTTAGTAAAAAAGTTCATGTCTCTTTAAAAAAATTATTTCATTTTTAACACTGCTAATGAATATACCTCTGTTTAAGATATTTTTTATATACTTTCATTTAAAACATTTCTTACTGTAATAAGAGAAAAGAAGAGAAAAGAATTCCCTTAATTAAAAAAAAAATTCAGATCCTCATAAATAACTTGAAAAAACAAGAGTTCAGGGTTTTGCAGATATAGTAAAAAAGAAAAATTTGATTTTAAACTCACAGTAAATCAACAGATTATTTAGGCAGCATAAATCACAAGATAACACTCCCTGTTAAACGTGAAGCAAGCCAGTGACAAACAATCCCAACAGGGAGTCAAAACACACGCCTGTTTTCCCACAGTTGTGTAATAATTGTGGGAAATTCAGAAAGAGGCGTCTCAGTTTCACGTTACAGTCAGCTGGAACAAGAACATTTCTTTTGGAAAATGTTGAGAAAACTGTTTCAGGTTTGTCCTGCGAGGCATGGATGGGGCACAAATTGCAAATAGAGAAAAACAAAACAAAAGACGATCCGAGGAAGGAAACTAAATTACAGGGAGTCCTTGGGGACTACCGCTGGAATGGACACTCCCTCTGTAGCCGATATGTTGGGTTCCTGTTTGGAATGAAAAGTCTAACGCAGTACCAAAAGACAGCCGACTGATAGATCAACAGTAAAACCAATAAATTAGGCCTCAGATTTACAATAAAATTAAAAGTACAGACTCACTAACTCAAACTTTTTCACAGGGGGAGAAAAAATTTTTTTCGCCTGGATAAATGAGGGAAGAAAAAAACCTTTTATAAACCAAACAGAGATGTTTTTACACTCCTTCATGTTTCATATGGCCATCCCAAAACCCTGAGAGTCAATTCAGATCCCCAAGTAATGCCCTTCAACTAGCAATAGCTTTGAGTTTAAGTCCTAGATCTCATGAACAAAGTATATAACAGAGATTTTTTTGAAACCTAGATAAAAAATCTACTGAAGTAAATGAAATGTTTTGGTTTACCAAGATTTCTTTAATTAATATAAAGTAAAAATATCTATATGTGGGTTTACCTTAATAAATAAAAGAAATTCAGAGCTGACAGAACAAATCCATATCTTCAAAATGCATTAAAACTAGATCCAGAGTTTTATCTTTTTCCAACAAAATGCCTCCACCGCAGGACTGAATGAAACCGGTCTTTAAAAGCCAACTTAAGAAACTTCTCTGCTTGTATTTGGCACCAAGTATCACAGCATGTACAAGAATCAAGGCCGTTAAGAAAATATCTAATATTTTCTATCTATTTGATTAGATTCTGAAATGCTGAGAGTCACATTTTAAGGGAGCTTCAGTCCTACATGTTTTAAGGAAGCTTTATGAAAAAAAAAAAACGATGGCAAAAATTAGGCTGACAGTCACAAAACTAAACATAGACCAGGCTTTTTCTTTTTTTTCTTTCAATTTTTCCATCTGATTGGCTTCTGCACATTTTCTCCACTCCTAAAACAAGTAAATGACATATTCCGCTTTCATAGGCTTATATATAGTTGTATGATTTTCCCCTAACTGGCACTGAGGGCAGTCTAAATTAGAGATCAACCAATCCAAGGTTGTTTATTTTATGCAGATTTCTTTTTGGGACCTATTCTTAAAGATGGATTTTCCTAACGCAATGATATTAAATGTTACAGAAGTTTTAATTTAAACGAAAAATAAACCCTGATGACATGGTAATGAATGCACTGTTGAATAAGCAAAAGTGTGCACACATCAGCTGATGTAATAAACAAAATAACAAAAGAAAATTCACTAATATCAGCCAAAAATATCTGTTGATCTCTAGTCTAAAAGTAAACTAGTTCACCCAAACAACCAGTCTGTTTTTTTCCCCCCCACACTCAGTTCTTCCCTCCAGGATTGTCAGGAATGGTTAGAACTGTGCAGGCTGCAGAGTGGGGTCATGCCCACTGGGGCTTACTGGTAGGCTGATTATAAGGGGAAGTAATGCAGCAGTTCTGCTGCTAACTTTGTCTGGATTTGATCTATTGACCAAATGCTGAGGGTTTCATAATAACTATGCTTAAAATATCACCAAACATCCTTGATAATGAAGTCTGTCCTTTCCAGTCTGCCCTGGTTTTACTGACATTTGGTTAAATTGGAGGTCTGACCAGTTAAGCCAGAAGTAAAACAAACAATAATAATAATGGTAGTAGGAACGCTTTTTTCTGCTGAGTGAAAATGTGATATGAAGTAATCTGAAACTTCAAACTGCAGAAAACAATTGAATCGTCTGAAGATTTTTTAGGGTAGAATCATTTGGCAGAATTATGGCAGAAACACACACGACCTAAAAGCAGAACATTTCCTGAAATGAACCTGAAAAAAGTCTAAAAGCTTTTCTTAACCTGGAAGTTGACAGATGTTGAACTGTGAATATTTTTTAAAAGACGGGAGTCCTTTTTTAAAGAAAGAGAAAAAAACATTCAAACTGTAAAGGATGTGTAAAACTTTGTGTTGAACTTTGATTAATACATCAAAAAGTGTAAAAGAAACAATTTTAGATCACAGAAATCAGCAGTCATTTACGAAAAAACTGTGCCAGGTTTAATGTTTTTATAATAAAAAGCATGTCCATGGTGACGATGTAAAAAATGAGAATTTTTAAAGATTTTGGTTTGAAATTTATCTATTTTGAGGAATTATTACAAGATTATCCCTTGTTATGCATAAAAATATTAATTTCTCTGATTTTTATAGAGGAAAAAATCCTTCAACATTAACCAACGGTAGGGCTACAACTAACAATTATTTTGGAAATCCTTTAATTATTTCTTCGATTAATCGAGTGTTCCTTAAAGAAGACTTTTTACAAAATCAAACCACTTCAAACTAAAGCTTTTACATCTGAGGAGTTCTGGATAGAGAATATTGACAGACCAAAAGGTTTTCATACCTCAAATGCAATATGTTTAAATATTTTCTTGACAATTTTTAACAATGACGGCTCCAAGTGGGTCGCTCTGTCAGCTAAAGGCCTGTTTTAGAGTCTCTAAACTCAAGTTAAGGATTAATCGATTGCTAAGTTAGTTGACGATTATTTCAATCGATTAATCCGATTCATTGTTTCAGCCCTAGTTAAGGCATTGCAGACCAAAAATGTTTGGAGCTCTTAGATATTTTAAAAGAACAGAGGATAGAGAGGGTAAGTTTTTACTAATTTTTTTTTTTTTTTTTTTTTTTACATTTAACCAAATTGCTCTTTACCAATTAGAGCTGAGATTGGTCCAATTGGTTAATTTAGATCTCTGGCTGATGATGGGGCTATTCCTATGTCTATATTATTTGTAATGAAGAGGCCAATTTATTTATTTTTATTTTTTTTTGTTTGTCTTTTTGTTCCTTGAATCAATAAGAAAATAGCAATAACCATCTTGCATTCAACTGATTTACGGCAAGCAGTATTGGGTAAGAAAGTGGAAGCACCAGCTTGGTAAAAAGAGCAGAGTCTCAGTGAACAGCAACAGGTGTGGGAAGGGCAGACATTTTTTACTCAGGAATCAATTGTCACACCCATTATAGCCTCTAATAGAAGGGACAACAACATACACCATAAGGCGAGATTTAATTAAAAATATACAAAAAAAAAAGACCAAAAATAAAGAATTTCACCAATGGCTGTATTGAAATAAGTTCCCATCTTGTCTTATGTCATGTCACCTCATAATTCTAGAAGTCTTGTTTTCTTAGAAAAGGTATACTAAAAATAAATAAATAAAATAATTCCAACAAAAAAAAAAAAAAAATTAGAAAGTGGTCTTTTCCATGTCAGGATTTTGTGGTTGATTTTGCAGTAAAGTCAAACAAACATCTTTAAAATTCACATTAAAATAATGCAGCAACAAAAAAAAGCCACGAGTAGTGCAGACATTATTATCATGCCACTGCTGTAATGGGTTCCCTGTGGACACTTTAACTGTTTTTGTGGTATTAAATGGTGTGTTTAATGACCCTAAAAAGAGCTGACATGCAAGCTCGTAATTTTGCTGACTAGTGAAATATTCACCACTACATCCACTACCGATAAAATATGTCAAACACTTTAACATGTCGGGAAGAGGCGTTTAGAAAACCGTGCCTGTAAGATTTGTTAAAACAAACGGGCCTCGTCCATGGTGAGAGTGGTGGCAGTTTTTTAACTCAACCGGTTCAATGACAAGAAAAAAAAAAAAAAAAAAGTAGACACACCCCGTGCCTAAACTGAGAACATTTATTCTCAAGAATCACAAAGAGCTCGAATGTCCCACGGTCCTAAATGCACCACCTTTAGATTTCTTAACTGAACTCAAAGCTTTTCAAGATATAATTCGCTCCAGAGAGTAGTTAGTAGATCCATATTTCCTGTCCCAACAACCTCACACACACGGGGAAAGCTCTAAAAGTGTTTTCCAAATCCAATAGGTCCGTTTTTTAAATAAACTTTCTTACCTGGACATAATTTTTCTCGCAGTAGTCGGCTACTCTCGTCAGGTTTTGGTAACTCTCCACAAGCGCTCTCTTCCCGGCTGGAATCTCTTCCTCCAACAACATTTGTAGCTCTGCCATCTTACATCTCTCCCTGCAGAGCCTCCCTTCCCTCTCTCTGCCTTCCCTATGATTGAAGCAGCTACCAGCCCACAGCACTGACAGGAAAAAAAAGAAAAAGAAACTATCTTCCTCCGCCTGCTATTGTGGGATTCCTGGCCCCGATTTCGCTTGAACTCAAACCGAAGATCGTCTGATAAAACGAAGATGTTTCACTAACCCGTTAAAAACTCGCTTAGGTTTTGCACACGCTGTCCGTGAACTTAATGGTGGTTCACTTCTCGCATCAGAAACTAGCTTTAAACATAAGTAGTGATTTGATTTTCTTTTTAGAATACAAAAAACATTTTTTTTAAATATATTCTGGCCAAGAAAAGTAGGGAAAATATATTGTTTTAATGAATGGCTTTTTTCTGTGACGTTTCTGAAGTTTTAATGTGTTTGCAGTAAAATAAAAACTTAGAAAATTATTTTGATTTTCGTTAAAAATGTTTGGAGTATTGCTAGTTTATTTATGTATCTATTTGTTTATTCAGTCCTGTTTACAGTGTGGTTAAAAGAAAACCAAACACAAAGAAAGAGTGCCACCTAGAGTTAAGGTTTCGAGTACTGCTTTTTTTTTTTTTAAACAAACGTGTTTTTATCATTTATTTAGATAATATTATGCTTTTTTCCAATTACAGATATATTTATGGACTCCTTTTAACAGTTAACAACTACTTGTTCCATCTTTTACTCTCTAAATAATATATATATATTTTAAATTAAATGTTCTTGTACAGGTTCTTAACTTTTACAGTGGAATACCATCAGTGTAATTTTTTTATTTGATGAAATATTAGGTTAAATGTCATTTCAATGTGAAATATGTGAAATTTAAATATGGAACTTTATGAATTGAATAATAGTTTAATATAACAGAGAAATTATATTTACAATTTCAATAGAATACCCAGATTAATATTTACATTCATATGCAAACTGATATGAATCAAAAATAATTAGACTAACATTAAATACAGACTAAAATCAATACTGTCATAATGCTATAATCCCAACCATTCATTCATCAATCCAATAATAATAATAACATTAAGTTATTGTTATTGTTGTTGTTGTTTTTTGATTATCATAGAGAAATTCTAAGCATTCCAAACAGTGATATGTTTAAAATAATTCAATATCAAAGTGTGCATTGCTTAGGCATGCACGTGTGCAATTTGTTAATTGTTTTATATCTGTGTCAATATTTCTACATGTCACAACGAATTCGGCAAGTCTAAAATAGACAGAGTGAGAACTCTCACTGCTCATAAATTCGCCTACGGTTTTATCTGAAAAAGTGGGATAAGTGATAACGCATGCCGGGAATTGTAGTTCCATGCTTAGTAAACTCTAGCGACCATGTATATTTAACCATGTTTTTAATTCACAGAAATAATAAATTTAAGAGCTATGAAATCGTCTCATTACACCCCTTAAACTGCCCTTTCAGTTACTTTTTTGGGGGTCAAACCCCAAAGGTGGTGGAGTCTGTAGGACTTACCGTTAGGAGAAAACTTCATCTCCCATGATGCATTATTGTTTAGCTTCATCTGCTGTTTATGGCGTCAGTCTCAGAGCTAAGGGCAAGTTACGCTCTGACCGATAGATAAACAAATAGTTTAAAGGTGAGTAATGTCTTTTTTAGTGTTTTTACTTTGAATATTTTCACACATTTGTGTAACTTGGCGTAAATGCTGGCCGCAGCTAACCCTGTGCGGCAGGGCACTTATTGTGTCCTACATTCTCAGCTGGTTCAATCCTCTTACTGTCGGTCAAAACACAGACTGCGAACCCAAAGACCAGCGTCTGTTTTATGTTTCTTCTACTTCTGGTTAGGCGGATATTCCTGCTAGCTGTCTCCAGATTGGCATTATGGAGGTGGAGAGTGTCAGCGCACAGGAACAGACACGTCTGACCCAGAGAAGGTTCGAGGCAGCGGTTAAAGTCATCAAGAGTTTACCCCCCAACGGTTAGTAAGACCCATCACTTCCTGGGAGACACTGACAGCCTCAGCAACTGCTTCACATAAACCACGTTGATTTTACATCTGATATACTGCTCAATTAAAGGGATATTGCACACATTTCATGTCATCAGGTTAGACGTAGGCTAATTTATTAGTCATTTTGTTTACACAAGTGTAAAGCAAAAATAAATTTCGTTTGGAACAGCTCTCTGAACAATTTCATCTTAAATATATATATAAAAACAGTAATATGACTGTAAATTTACAGTTCTAACAAATTAGCTCTTGTTCATGTTAAATAAATATGGTTAGTTTATAAGGTTTTCCTACATATATATATATTTTTAAATACTGTCACACACTTCAGTGTGTGTATTCATTTTTTTGTTTTTAGCAGTAACTGGTGGACTTTTCTGCAGGTTGGGGTTGTAGTTTATGTGAAATATAATGGAGTAGAAAATCCCTTATTGTCCCACAATGGGAAAATTGTGGCGTTACTGCAGCAAATGGTTATAGCAGAAGTGGTCACACAATGTACACCTTAGAAAAGTGTATAGAAATAACAGATAAGAAAATAAAACACAGTAAAGTATTGTACTGTACAGTGTTTTTACAATATAAATACTCTGTATCTGGAGAATGACAAATCCATAACAGCTGTGGAATTTTTTTTTTTTCAGTAATGGAAAAATAGCAGCAACACCAGAGATGTGCAAAAAAAAAAAAAAAGAAAGAAAATGCCAGCAGCTTGTTTTTAACTGACTAAGACAGAAACTGCAAAAAACGGCATCAATGTAACAACTTATTGAGTTTGTTGGGAACAGTGATGGTTATAAAGTCTTACAGCTGCCGGGAGGAAAGATCTGTGATAACGCTCCCTGGTGCATTTAGGGCTGAAACGAACAATTATTTTACAAATCTTTTTTTTTTATTTTTTTTTTTTTATACATAATTAAAACAGATAAAACTATCACTTTCCTGCTTGGGGAGTTCGGGGTCAACACATTAGATAAAGGCCATGGCTTGCCGGATTGGCTGCTACAGATCCACAGCTTGTTTCTTTATGACATCATAAGGGGAATGATTTTCAAACAGAGCATTTTGAGCATACATTAACTAAGACGTGAAGAAAGGCAAGGAGGAATCTTTTTTAGTTTTTTTTCCATTTGGTGAACCTCATACGCAGGCTTCAGGTCACATATGACTATTAGAAAATGTTTATGTGAATTATCCATAATAGGGGAGTTTTAAAGGCCAGATTTGTGGCGTCCATGAATAATATTGGTCCTATCATCAGATTATCACACCTGAGCTTTGGATCTCCATAGCTCCTTAAGTTACCATGAGCCTCTTAGCTAATTTGTTGCCCTGTTATGGTGTCCCATCCTCCTTCCATTTTCAGATGACTGATCAAACAAAACTCTGTGAAAATGTAGTGTTTTATAACCTAACCCTGCTTTGAAATTTCACCACATCCCCCCGACCTGTCTGCTATCCACCTTGGTCTTCATCCTAGTGTTTTGTTTTTTCACTATTGTTCATTAACCTCTGAGGTCTTAATACTTTTGAAGACACATTTTCTGTTTGTCAGCCTGTTAAAAGGAGCAGCCACAGATTCAACCTTATCACCAAAGAGTTATCATAGTCCTCTTTTTCTGAGTTTTTTTTTAAATAACAAAAAAATAAAATAAAATCATAAACCTTGCAACTCTGTAACCTAGATTTAAGCGTCCAGCAGTTTTTATAAGATGTAATACACAGGATTGATGAGCGATGCCCCAAAGAAAAAAAAGTTACCTTTCTTATGGCAAAAAAGTAACCTGGTTAGAGAGATGAGTCCAGTCAGAACTCTTTGAAAAGTGGGAGGTGGAAGTAGACAATAATTTGAAGAAGCCAGCTCATCTAAGTGTTTTAGATCTGAAACTTTATTCTTTAAAAGCTCTGAAATGGCTCTTAAGCTCAGTACCCTATCAGAGGCCAACTTCAGCTGGTGCCAGGTGAAACGCAGCAGCTTGAGTGATTTTATCAGCTTTAGCTGCAGACACCAGCAGAATCGGTCTGTTCATGTGGCCCCATCCAGTGTGTAGATTCCTACCCTGTTGTTGAAAAAAGCAGACATTTTGCATACAGTGTTTGTGTCTGTTTTTCTTCAGGTCCCTTTCAGCCTTCAAATGACATGATGCTCAAGTTCTACAGCTACTATAAACAGGCCACTGTTGGACCATGTAATATACCACGACCTGGGTTCTGGGATGTAGTTGGTAAAGCTAAATGGTTTGTAGATTTCTCTCATATCCATTTATGTTGTTTCTGCTGTGTTTAGATATTTCAACTCTTTACATTAATGTATTTTATAAATATTAGATTCATTTTCATGTGAAACCAGACTGAAGGCAGAGGAATTATCTTTTTGTGTCTTTTCTTAAGTTATGCTCTCTGGACTGGGTCTGGAATGTGACCTCTTACCCACAGAGCCGGACAGCTTTCTCTGTTGGGTCTTGCTTGAAAATGTTTGAAATCATAGCTACCGACAGCGGGTGGGGTTTTACTCAACCTTTGAGCCGAAGGCTTGCAGGGAACACATTGACCTTGGGTAAACTGGGTCTGTTTGAAAAGCAGGGAACTAGCACAAAGGTGACATAGATCCTATTTAATAAATATGTTTTATTGGAGATGTGAAGAAAAAAAAAACACTTTAAGTAAACATGTTCAATCCAGACTCTGTTCAGACTTTGAACTTTGACTGTGCTAAAGGCTGACGAGTAACGGAAGCATGATATCCATCATTACTGTTTAAATATTTATGTCTTATGTAAAAACATTCTAATTAGATTGATACTTATCTCTTAGTTTAATCACTTTGATTTTTAATAAACATTTTTTTCCTTTTTACGTTAATTTTAATAGGGATGCGTGGAATTCCCTTGGAGAGATGCCTGAAGAAGAAGCTATGGCAGCCTATGTCGACCAAATGAAGCTGGTTGGTCTTCTTGATTTTTCAAATTTTGTGATCAAGACTTGTCTGTTTGGTGTTGTAGCTGATGATGGTTGTTTTCATTTGGATAAGCAAATACTAAAAAAAGCTAAGGTGTTTTCTGAAAGTTGAGGGAGAGTTAGAACAATGTTTCGAACCTGAGCTGGAGTACCATTACATTACAGCAGGTCTGACCCACAGAAAAGTCTACAACTTCCATTTAGGGTCCTCGTTAGAATGCTGCTGAGAGGTGGGATTTAGAGACCTAACAAACCAGCACACTATGGGAGGATTTCAAAGCATAAGAATGCTCAGTTTGATGTCTCTTCTGCTCCAGCTCTGACCTGATTTCTTATTTTTAGATGCACTGACACACAACTTGCCTCATAATCCTTCTGTATTCAATTAAACCACATAACCAGGCTGTTTCCATTATGTGGGTTTAACGACAGCAAAATAGTTTTTATGGTATAAGGGAAAAGCCCCTTATAGCACTCATTCTTCTTAGTTTACTGCAAGAACACAGTGATTGGTCCACTAAACCCCCTTCAAGCTAATGCTACACATGTAGTAAGTCTAACAGAAGTTAAAATACTGATATGTGTTCAGGCATATGCTTCTCTAGGGTCAATAATAAAGCAAATACCAAAATAAAACCAAACATGTCCATTCAGGGTAATCTTTAAGTGGCAGTTAAGGTCATCTGCAGACATCATGTAGTTTTCGGGAAACAAAAGACACATAAAAAGTGAAAACTACACTTTAAGGAAGAAGTTCTTTCTGGCTACCATTTATGGCACACAAACAACTATTGGTTTCCTTTGTGGTCTTCTTCACATCCCGATTGAGTTATTTTTGTAAAATGCAGTGAAGATAAATTCTTACTTCTCAAGTCCTTTTTTCCGCTTAAAGTTCACTCATTTCCTGCTGACAAAGAAGGATTTTAAAATTTTCACTTGCTTTAGAAAACACAATGAAGTAAAATATTTTATTTGCTTCATACATTTATTATGAAGGTTATTATTTCCCATTGGGAAAAATCCTTAAGGTTTATTGGATTTCGTTCACAGATCCTGGAGGGAATGCCCATGACTGACGAGGTGGAGGAGCTGCTGCGCGTCCTCGGACCCTTCTATGAGCTGATTGATGAGAAGAAAAAAGTCACGCAGATATCAGACTTGAGTACAGGTAAGGTCTGTGGCCCACAGCGCCGACTCTACCTTCTACTTCCTGGTGACAGAAACGGGACGACCAAGCTTAACTCTCTCTGCCTCTTATCTGCTCAGCCCGTTTAACCAAGTTTGCTAGGCAACTGGAAGGCAAGTATCTGACTGTGCTCTCGTGATGTAGAGTAGAATCTGTGTGCTGCTTCAGATCAGCTGCTTTTAGTGTTAGTTGGCGGCACTGTTCCCTCTGTTACGCACACGTTTTAGGATAAAGAAATCGTTTTTTCTAGCTGCTGATTATTTCATAAAGATGTTTGTTATTCCTCTTAAAGTACAGAAACGAGATAAAGATGGAGTTTAAGTAAAGTTTAGTTTTGTGTGGAGTTTCCCAGTATTATTATTATTATTTTTTTTGTTTTGTTCAGGGTTTGGAACGATGCTGGACACAGTGGGATCAAAAAGTATTGCAAAAAGCATAATAAGAAACATGGAGATGAACGGCACTCTGGAGACTCGGCCCGCCAGGCTCAGAGAGAGTGAAGAAGTCGAAGAGGAAGACGACAACGACGATGATGATGATGATGAGGAGGATGATGATGATAATGAGGAAGAAGAGAAGGAGGACATAATAGAAATCAGAAAAGGTTGATATTGCTCCCTATTGTGAGACGATTATCCCTTGTATTGCTGATTTTTTTCTTATCACTGCTCCTGTTGTGTTTTACTTTAGCAGCACAGCCCAAGAAGAAAAGTTCCACCAGAAGACACAGAGTGTCCCTCCAGAATGGTAAACTGTCTAATGGTGGCTCCCATGTGGTCAACGGGGGTCATCCCAGAGACGGCGATGTGCAGGAAGTCTCAGCCGGGGAGCCTCTGCTGAATGGACACCATGCAGGTAGGAAAACCTCCATATTGGCTCTGCTGTATTTAGAACGGCAGCGTAATGAGGACTCCTCCAACATTGCCTGCCCCTGCTTGGGGTTTAAGAGCAGCATGTGACCAGATAATCTGCTAAGCTTTATTCTCAGAGCTGCAGTAAAGCTCCAGTAAAGATTCACACCTTGGCTGCTCCTGGGCTGGTTTGGATCAGTCAGAATAAACAGGACAGGCAGCCATTAATTCACTGTTTCTTCTGTGTAGAAAGTCTGAAAACCATAAACAAGCCGCACAAAAAAATATGATGTTGTCTTTGTATTTATTTTAGATGCGAGACCCAATCTGGTTACCAGTGACTCAGACAGTGAAGTCTACTGTGATTCTGTGGACCAGTTTGGCCAAGAAGAGGCAAGTCAGAGCCTCACAAACATGAGCCTGGATCAGATTTATTAAATCACTCCCCTAAAGATGTCTCCTTTTACTCCAGAACTCGGAACATAACCGCTCTCTGGATGACCTGGAAGAAGAGGAGAGTCAACTACGACACGCAGAGGAGGACGTTCAGGATCCTCCACAGGCCGTCAGGTGTGGAGGAGAAGAGGGGGAGACGGGTGGGACGGTGTCACAGAGACAGAGGCTGGACGTGGAAATGCCAGATGGTGCTTCAGCCAGAAGGGGAAAAGGTGAGGACCAACCTCCAGGACGTTAAAGCTTCTATTATATAAAGCTTTAAAAAAAAAAGGCCTTTAAGGCAGTTTATTTAAAAGAAATAGTTGAGCTATTAAAGCCTCGCACATTCGCAATTTGTCCAAAATTAGATTTTAAAAAAAGGATAAAACAAAAAAATATTTATGAAATGTCTACAAGTTTTAAGTAATGAAAGCAGTTTTATCTCTTTAAGTATTTTTGTTGGGTTTTTCAAGACTAAACTGGATAATCAGTTTAAAGTTATGAAATACAAACCATATGAGCCTAATTAAGATTAAAAAAAACAGCTGATAAAATCCTTTTCTGCTTTCCAGGTTCTAGGTCCCCAGGTCCAGGACCTCAGGTCCCCATGCACAGCAGTGGGGATGGAGACGGGGAGCGCTGGGGAGGCGCCGTTACACCCGCAGTGAGCCTGAACGAGCAGATTGTGGTGGCGCTGGCCAGACTGCAGGAAGACATGCAGAGTGTTCTGGAAAGACTAAGGACCTTGGAGGCTCTAACAGCCAACCAGGTCAGACCAGCCAGTCCTGTCGGTTCCTTGCCTCACACCAACAATGTTAGACAGGAATACTGGTTCTTACTGTTGGCTTTTATTTCATTTCATCAAACAGAATATTTTTAAACATTTCCAGCCTTTCAGGCTTTATTTTTAACTGTTTAAATAAATCCTAAATATAGTTTTAGTTCCCTACTAACCTCCAACATGCTCTATTCATCTGCTCTAATTGCTAGTCTGGCCAAAATAGATTATTGTGAATTTCCAGGTTAATAACTACTTTTAGAGTTTATCTGATTTTTTTTTGTGTCTAAGAATAGAAAATCTTATCTTATATGTTTTTGTCTTCAACAAAAAGATTTATCGTTATATAAGCGGGATGCCATATTATAGAACACAGCAGTTTTTTGTAGTTCTTTATGTTGTCCTACATAGACTAAGTCGTTTTATTTGTGTTGTTTGTGCTTTCTGACAAGCTCGCACACGAACACATTTTCCCTCTAAAAGACACAGAGTTCCCCAGAAAAGATGTCGCAACCGCCTACAATCCAAACTTAAATATGTGCGTTAACACACCTCCCTGAAGGATTCACTCTGCTCTGATTAGCAGCCAAAGCTCTGCTTCTCCGTACCCAGAAATAACCCAAGCTGTATTCATCTCCATTCACCCTCCTTCGTCTGCTTAAGGAAAACCTCGCAGCATAATACTTCCACCACTATGTTTCACTGTGTAGATCATGTGCTGAAGGTGACTGACATCATGAGGCTGTTTGCTCACTGATGTTCTCTAACTAACCTCTGAGGCCTTTTCCCAGAACAGGGGTGATTACCTATGAGTTAACATATAAATTTAATTTGCTAGGTTACAGGCCACAAACATTCAGGTTATTTTTATAAAGAAAATGTTT